AGGGTGTTGCCATGCCATTTGTGAGTGTAAAAGCACGAAGGGTGATGCTGTGTCAATTTCAGAGAGTGTAAAAGTACGAAAGATGATACCGTGCCAAAAGAGAGTTAAAGCACGAAGGGTGATGCCGTGCCAATTATTATTATTTATTTATCAGTTTATGGGAGGAATAAGAGTAAAAGCACGAAGGGTGGTGCCGTGCCATTTTTATATTATCAGTTGCTAATTATATTGTTGATGAATTAATTGGCTGCTATGTGACACTTCTCCTGCTAAAATTTTTATATCACTCCCCTTCGCATGTTCCCTCCCAAATTTATAAATTTTTATTTATTATATTATTGTTGTTTTGTATTTGTATATACTTGTACTGGGTATTTATGTACGTATCCTGTCATAGCCTCGTCACTACTTCGTCGAGGTTAGGCTCGACACTTACGGAGTACATTGGGTCGGTTGTACTCATACTACACTCTGCACTTCTTGTGCAGATTTTGGAGTTGGTCCCAGCGACATACCATAGACGTGCTCGGATTCAGCTACTCAGAGGAGACTTGAGGTATAACTGCACATCATTTGCAGTTCTGAAGTCCCCTTCTATCTTATCTTAGTTGTGTTTTATCTTTCAAATAGCTTGAATTTTATTTAGACCTTTAATTGTATTATTCTAGTAACTCGTGCACTTGTGACACCGGATTCGAGGATGTATTTTGATAATTCGGTATTTATGGTCTTTCGCACTTTATTTCAGTAATTGACTTCTATTTAATTTAATTTGCTTAAAAAATGTTCAGATTATTTTAACGTTGGCTTGCCTAGCAAGTGAGGTGCCATCACGGTCCTGAAGGTGAGAATTTCGGGCCGTGACATTCAACCATTGCCTCTGTTACCACTTGTTGGGATCGAACTAATATGATGCATGCGAAAGCTAACAATGCAAAGCTTGATGGATGATAAATCAGAGTACAAAAGAAAAGTGTACTAAACTAAGCATAATAATTTATAATGGTTCGGTCAATCGACCTACATATGATCTATTACTAATATAAAAATAAAAGATAAATTTTTTGAGAGAATAATCTTCCCTAAACATGATTCTTGTAAAGAGTACATTGTGAAAGTTGTTGTAGTTGTTCTTGTTGTGAGAAGAAAGTGTCAATTTATAGAAGTACAAAACTTTTCATCAAAAAAAAAGGACAATACATATAAAGAAAATTTATTCCTTTTAGGAGTATTTTCCCCTTCCTTCGTGAAGGAGAGTTCTAATAAATTAAAAATTTAGGACAAAATCCTAACAATACACACGACTGCATGGTATGATACACAGGTACATGGTTTTTGAAAATCGATAAGCATATGTGGCATTTAATATCGCGGAGCCTATGTCGTCTACTAGGGAGTATTGTAGGAGGGGAAATAAGGAGATCTCACACTAGGGCCAAGGGTTTGAAATCTAAGTCATTAATTAAGGCAATTGCCTTTTCTTTAAGTCAAGGCAAAGAAAGAGGTCACTTCGAATATGGCTGAATTTTCCGTAATATTGTACATAAGTTAGTATTTTTCGAATGTTAAATTGTATACAAGTATGAAGGAAGAGTCTTGAATAATTATTTTTTGGATAAATTATACTTTGGCTCTTTAACTTTGCAAGTGAACTGCATTTGGCTCTTTTGGATTTTCCTTGACTGAACTCAACTAGCTTTTGCCATTTCAGTTTCTCTTAATTTTCTCCTCTTTTTTCTCGAATGCCATGGCATCTTATCCCTTTTCCTTTTTATTTCTTTTACCAGTTCTTCCTTAAGTTGTATATTCTCTTGTAATTGACGAAAATCCAAATCGATTTCTTTTAAAAATAAACGGTTAATTCCCTTTATTTAGTTTGCTTCTTATTGCCTGCAAGTTTCATACATCTTTCCTAGAAAAAAATGATCAATCTAATTATCGTAACGGGAAGTGAAGTATTATCAACTAAAAAAAGTATTATCAACTAAACCGTATAGGGAACGGAAAACAAAACCTAAACTATATAGTGAAATGAGTCTTTTGTAGATATATCATGGAAACCTTGCTTACAGTTGAGATAATAAATATTTTGCAAATTAAGTCTAAATCATATTAAAGATTCATATATATATGTTGTGCAGTAATTTGAAGTCGAATATTAAGATTTTGACTGTTCGACATATAATGATACAAATTAAACAATAATTCCGTCATTTTTGGTGAATTTGGAGGCTTGATACTATCAAGATCCTCAATCATCAGAAATCAGAATCTAATTTTCTTATCTAAACTTATAGTCTTACTAAGCACTCCTAAAGCTAGCACTGTAATACTATCTAAATCACAATATGCAAACGCACGCTTTCACTGACCAAAAAAGGATGCTAAATTTCATATTAGTTTCATTTTTTTTGTTTTTTTGTTTTTGTTTTTGGTTGATAATCACAACCTTTTGCTTCTTGCCTATGAGTGTATAATGTTAGAATCAAATTACTTTAAAGATGAAATCCTTCATCTTTTACCCAAGAACTATCTGTCAAATCATAAAGAATTAAAAGTAGATGCGAAAGCGTATCTGAATCCATAAGAACAAATGAAACTGCTCGTCTTGCAGTCAATGGTCTTCCAAATCAAGACGTAAGAATTGCACAGAAGACGACTCTCCCTTTTCCACCAATGGGATATTAGAAAAGAACCCCCGGCATTTGATTTGGGGACCATAACCCTATTTATAGATGTGCACAATTTACGTAATTCTAATTTAGCCCATCATTAAATTAGAAATTACATCCGGGTATCTACACATTAGACCACATATATTATGAGGTGTCTTATAGACCCATTTAACTTTAAACCTTAGTAGATCACTTTTAATTTGGGTCAACCTTTTAATGATAGCAACCAACATACAATTATTCTTAATACCATATATGTGCAAGTCCATAAAAAGTTCTAATAATCTCCCACTTGGACTACATATATAACTCTATAATTGTATGTCACCTTATGAGCTCAAAATATTTGCTATCATAAACCAAAGTACCTCCGAACAATCTCGTCAATCAATTATGCCAATATTGGACCAAGGCGGCTTTCGTTACATTTGTTGTAACTAAACCTTCCATGATCACGAATACCAACATAACCAAATGACATAGATCAAGTATGGATGTGTAGCATGAAAATTACATGCAATGTGGTCCAAGCATGCCTATTTTCAACTGGTCTAACTGAAAAAATAAGTCAGAGTGAAAAATAACCTGAATACTTTATTTCTGCAAAAATAACCTTAAATATCCTTAAACAGGAATCATTACTAGAAACCTTAAACTGAAACTGAATTGTGTCCATAAAGAACATTTAAGAGGTTACAAACTCCCACTGAAACTGAATATCCTTAAATGACATGACACTCATATGAGCAATATACTCATAAAAACTTTGGGTGGTAGTTCCTTAGTAAGTGGATCCACAACCATAGAGTTTCTACCAATATGCTCTATAGATACCTACTTTATGTCAATGTGCTTTTGACTTTACCGAACTCCTGTTGTTATTGGAATACAAAACTGCTGGCTTATTGTCACAAAATAACTTAAGTGTCCTTTCAACATTATCCATAGATTCGCAATCAGTGACAAAATTTTGCAGTCATATTCCATAATCAGATGCTACATAATATGTTATAAATTAACTGACATAGTGAAAAGAGCTATAAGTGTTCATTTAACACTCTTCCTTATATAGCTCATCAACCAAGTATGTCATATTATATCAGTATCTAGTGAAGTCGATACCTGAATATCTTTAACTTTTTCGACTTTCTTTATGTGAGCATAAAATATTTGTTCTTTGTAATTACCTTTTGAACCTTTAAACTATTTTCAAAAGATAAGTTTATAAATTATTTAAACATCTACCCAACATCCCTAAATTAAATGAGATACACAGATGCATACAAAGTTGATCATACATCAGACAATAAAAAATATACTTACTCCTACTAAACATGTGGTATACAAATTAATTAACAAAATTTATCTCGAAACCAAATGAGACTCTTTCTTAAGTCCATAGATGATTTTCTTTATTGAAATCTATTCTTGAGATTGTAGAGTTTGTTCTTTGGGAACTACTTTTTGAAGGACGGGTTGAATAATATTGTCTTTGATCTGAATTTACTTCGTGGATAATGTCATGTATAGAAACTTGTTCCTTAGTATTGATAATAGCAATTAGAGGAATATGATTATGTTCCTCTTCAAAGACAAAGTCCTTAACTCTTCTCTCCCCCTGCAAACTCAACATCCTCAAAGAATCTCATATTGTTGGAAAATGTAGCCTTAGTATTCAGATAAAAATTTTGAAAAATTGAGGGGACAGAAAATATTATTGGACAAAAGTCTCTTAATTCTCCTTTAGAGATATGACCTAATCTCTAGTACCATAAAGAAGTTGACAACTGGATGGTTAATTTACCCTTATTACCAGTTATGTTAACATGCAAGGTTCATTGGACGAACCAATTATATCAAGTATAGATTATTGTAACCTGATAAAGATCCGGGACCAACTAATTTTGAATTATGAAAGAGATTAAATTTTTTTAAAATAAATAAAAATAATCAAAATTGTCTAATACATAAATAAAAATCAAATCTCATCAAAGAAATGGTGCATAATAAGTCTCGTTCAAATTCAAATAAAATTGGCTCTTAACAATAATCTAAAAGTTTCAATTGATTCGAATTCCATCAACTTGCTGTCACCATCGTAGATGTATCTTTTACCATCGTAGATGTATCTTTCACCATCATCAGGCTTTTGATAGTTTAGGCAACCCTATATAGACACAATGATGTGAATTGTTATATTAGAATCTATCCACCATCTGTGTCTTGGTACCGAAGTCAAATTAACCTTAGAACAAATAAAATTAAGAGGTGTGCCTTTCTTTGCATGCCATGTGTGATAGTTGGTACAATCCTTCTTTTTATGACCTTCAGCTTTACAAAAGAAACAACTATCTGTAGTTGGTTTCTGATGTTGTTCCTTTTGTGTTGCTGTATCTACAGCTTCCTTATTCTTTCTCTTCTTGTCCTTCCTTTTATCCTTAGGCACAGCGGTTAAGTGAGCACTTTCTATCTTTTTCTGCTTCAGTCTATCCTCTTCCTGAACATAGTGTGAGATGAGCTCATTTAGAGACCAAGTCTTTTTCTGATAATTATAGCCCATTTCAAACTGGCTAAACTGTGATGGAAGGGATATCAAAATCAAATGCACTAGCAAGTCCTCAGAGAGGTCCAACTTAAGTGCTTTCAACTTAGAAAAAAGATGAGACATTTGCATAATGTACTCCCTGATGTTACTTTTGCCTCGATACCTTATTGAAGTCAGACTTGTCAAGAGTGTACCAATCTCAGCCTTTTCACTCTTGACAAATACCTTTTCAATTTCAACCATAAATTCTTTAGCCGTCTTAACTTTATCGGACATGGTACCCCTGAATATTTCTGGAATGGTTTTCTTCACATGCGATCTGATCTCTCCCACCTTTCCATCTCCCTCTTTTCATTAGAGGTACTCTTATCTGTAAGAGGTGGTGGAGAATCAACCCTTAACGCAAAGTTGAGATCCATGACTCCGAGAACAATGCTGAGATTCTCTTGCCATGACTTGAAGTTAGTGCCATTCAACATAGGAATTGAATTAATATTAGCAGTAATATTTGCATGAGTAATTTTAGCTAAATCAGAGAACAACAAACAATGAAATAAGCTCACATAATACTTAAAATCAAACAACAACAACAACAACCCAGTAAAATCCCACTAATAGGGTCTGGGGAGGGTATTATGTACGCAGACCTTACCCCTACCCCGAAGGAGTAGAGAGGTTGTTTCCGAAAGACCCTCGGCTCAAGAAAACAAAAAGACAAAAGGACAAAAGGAGAGAATATTAGTATCACCACAGCAATCATAGGAAAAATAGGAATACCATAAAATCCAGAAGAAAGATGCAAAACAAAAGCGATAGCTAGTAAATAGGACCTGCACTGAAAAGCGAAATAGTAAGACACAACATTGACACTAGCTATCTTAGACAAAAACCCTACCTGGCTAGTCCCACAATGGTACGAAGTAAGGCAATACTTAAAATCAAAATAAAAAATAAATTTGAATAAAGGTAAACCCCATTTCAAGGTACCAGATACTCTATTAATATCTCATCTTTGGATAAAATATTAATCTGTAAGTGGTATCTTGGTGTAGTAATCAAACGTTGATAATAAAGAACATGTCAAATAATAAATCTTCCTTTGGGCCAATTTATTATTCACACGTAAAACCAAATAATTATCACGCATTTATTACCACAAGATGCACATGTAATTCTGTTAAACATTGACATTCCTTTGGGCCGATCAATATTTAATAGGTTACATGTACCTTTTATATTTCAAAACAAATAAATCTCTACAAGAGAGGTCACTTTGACAACATCAAGTTTCGACTTTATTTATCTCAAAATATATACAACTATACCAATATTCAAATTTAAATTCTTCAAATCAAAACATATAAATTTTCAAGCTATAACAAATAAATGGTGGGCCTCAATTTATGTTCCTCAAGCATAATACACTGCCAGTATTTACATAATACACCAAATGAATACATATATCGATTCACAAAAAGATATTTATGCACCAAAGTCTTTCTGGCAGCAAACATATGCCGCAAAGGCGGCAGTCTAAACCAAAGACACCGTAATTCGCACAAAGTTTGGCAGCAACTTCATGCGGCAAAATAGCATACCGTAATCCGCACAAAGTTTATGCCTAAAATCCTTTTCTTTAGCTTCTTTCTTTAATGATGTTTTCATAAGAAAATTAAGAATAATTCACATGAAAACAGTGATTGAAAAAGATTTCGAATTGTCTTACTGCAAGGAGACCAAACCTTCAATTCTATTTGCCAAATTCACGTTGCAACAATGACTGAAACTCAAGAAATTTTTACTTTTATCCATTGTTTTGATGGCTCAAAGTAGAAAGCAGTGAACCTAACTTTATAGGTTAAGAAGTTCGAATCTATACACGACTAAAATAACTATAACCATACAAACAAGCACTAAATATTAATATACTTGTATAACAAATGAATAGATGTCATTAAGGGAAATTGAAAACCCCAATCCTTCTCTAACTGTTGAAACCTTAACAGGGGACAAACCTCCAGATTCTGAAATTGTCGCAAAAGCGACGTCAACAAAATTTAATCAACAATCTGTTTTCTTTTTCTTGTTTTAATCCTTAAAAGAGCAATAGTAGATGAAATCTCAAACTTTACTTTTGGTGGCAACAGTAAGGGAGGACAACCTCCAAACCGAACCGACGCCGCTTTGAGGTTGTAACAACCTTTTTCTATAACCGTCAAAATTTCAATTACACTTTTAAAAGATCTCAATAATTTAACATGAAACGCTTTGATACCAATTGTTAGAATTAAGTTATTTTAAAGATGCCCAAGAACTATCATGTCAAATCATCGAGAATTAAAATTAGATGCGGAAGCGTATCTGAATCCATAAGAACGAATGAAACTGTTCGTCTTGCGGTCAGTGATCTTCCAAATCAAGACGTAAGAATTGCACAGAAGACTGCTCTCCCTTTTCGACCAATGGGATATTAGAAAAGAACCTTGGCGTCTGATTTGGGGACCATAACCATATTTATAGATGTACACAGTTTACGTAATTCTAATTTAGCTCATCATTAAATTAAAAATTACATTCGGGTATCTATAAATTAGACCTCATACATTAGGAGATGTCTTATAGACCCATTTAACTTTAAACCTTAGTAGATCACTTTTAATTTGGGTCAATCTTTTAATGATAGCAACCAACATGATGTGCACAGATAGCCAGTAATAACACATATATTTACTTTTAAGCCATTGTTTTAAATGTATTTAGTCTTTAGCCACTGCTTTAATAAATTTTTACCCGCCCGGACGAAAATACCCTTCTGTGATATAGGATTTCGCTGATACATACGCTCCTTATTCACGATCAGCAGCAGCTCAAACTTACGTGCAAACTTACGTGCAGAGAATTGTTGTGATCGTCCAAAATTGCAGAAGCTTCTCTTCCGATTTCAAACTTCCAGTCTAAGTTCAGAATTCAACTTTCTCGTCCAAAATTCACCATAAAATTACAGTAAGTTCTAAAGTTTCAGATATCTCTATATGCTTTTGTGTGTTTGTGTGGATTTTTATTTCGTTACTGAAGAATAAGATGCTAGGAATTTGATTTTTTTTTCTTTTCTGTATTGATAACGTTAAGGACATAGCGTCCTTAACTCTGTGATTGTTCTGTAAATATTGAGGACATGATGTTAAGGATTTGGTGTCCTTAACATGACTGTTATTCTAAAAAATATTAAGGTCAAAGTGTCTTGTATTTTGCAACTTGTATTAATAAAGTTAAGGACATGATGTCCTTAACTTCATGACTGTTGTTCTAAATATTAAGGACATAGTGTCATGTATTTACAAATTGTATTAATAAAGTTAAGGACACGATGTCCTTAACTTCATGACTATTGTTCTAAATATTAAGGACACCATGTCCTTAACATTTTCACTGCACACATCAAAGTGAAGGACACCATGTCCTTAACATTTTCACTGCACACATCAAAGTGAAGGACACCATGTCCTTAACATTTTTACTCCACACATCAAAGTTAAGGATAACTTGTCCTTAACATTTACACTGCACACATCAAAGTTAAGGACAACTTGTCCTTAAAATTTAAACTACACACATCAAAGTTAAGGACAACTTGTTCTTAACTTTTACAATGCACACATCAAAGTTAAGGACACCATGTCCTTAACTTTTACAATGCACACATCCAAGTTAAGGACACCATGTCCTTAACATTTTGACTGCACACATCAAAGTTAAGGACATAGTGTCCTGTTTTTGCAACTTGTACTGATAAAGTTTAGGACATGATGTCCTTAACTTCATGACTACTATATAAAAATTAAGGACATAGTGTCCTGTTTTTGCAACTTGTACTAATAATATTTAGGACATGATATCCTTAACTTCGTGACTACTGTGTAAATATCAAGGACATAGTGTCCTATATTTGCAACTTGTATTGATAAAGTTTAGGACATAATATCCTTAACTTCATGACTGTTGTTCTAAATATTAAGGACATAGTGTCCTGTGTTTTGCACCTTGTATTGATAAAGTTTAGGACATCATGTCCTTAACTTCACGATTGTTGTATAAATATGTCCTGAATTTTCCATTTTCTTGACTTGCAGGATGGATACAATATGTATTATAGTTGCTTTTAATGGTAGATGGACTGCAGACTATAAGTATCTTGATCATCAAACAAAGCTTGTTCTAGTACCTGAGGCAATTCGATTTGAAGATTTCATTAACCAGGTCTTTGAAGTAATTGAATTGGATAGAGACAAGTTTGAAGCAATGATATGGTTTGATATCAATCTGGGAACAAGCAAGGAATGCTTGTATCTAAAGATTTAGATCTTCACACATGTATAGAGTTACTAAAAAGTCATTCACTCTTCAAGGGCTGTCATTTCATTATTGATGTTTCAGAAAGAGTTTTTGGTTCTACAAGCACCTTTGAACATGTCAATATAGAAACTCAACAAGACAATCAAGACAAATGCCAACAGATAATGGAAATAGATGTGGTTGAAGCTCAACCAATAACTGAAGAGGTGCTTCAAACATTTGATTCTATTCAAGTGGAAGGACAAAGTATTATAGAGATTGACAACGAACAAGCTTTGGGTATTCAAGTCTTAGAGAGTGCACCGGTAATAGAAGAAGTTGCTGAAAAAACCTTTACTTAACTAACTAGACGAAGCTCAAATTCGAAACAAAAAGAATTCCCAACTACGATATTAAGAGAAAATGCTTCGTTGGATGAAATAAAAGCTGGATCAATATTTGATAAAAAGAAGAGTATAATTAACTGTTTTTCCAATATAGCAGTTAAAGGACATTTTGAATTCAAGGTTGTTAGATCAAGCTCAACAAGATATTCGTTGAAACACAATGATGATAGGTGTGGGTGGTTTGTGTGTACTTTCAGAATTAAAGATTCAACACTATTCAAGATAGTAAAGATTGAGAAAAATCATGACTGCTCAGCTAACACTATGAAAGCTAATCAAAGGCATGCAACTTCAAAGTTGATTAGTGGTTACATTATCGACAATCTTCGAGACCCAAGGTTTGAAGTTACACCAGCCTTTGTCATGGCAGAAATACAAAAATTGCATTGGACTAGACATTGGTTATCACAAGGCGTGGCGTGCTATTCAACGTGCATCAGCTTTAATAAAAGGAACTCCTGAAGAGAATTATGAATTATTGTCTTCATACTTGTATATGATGAAAAGTAAAAATTCGGGAACATACACTAACATAAA